CGTTCTCATGAACCGCTACATGGAGTCCACCATCAAACCATGGGTGCAACAAGCATTCACCGCTTGGGCACAGGACTCCAAAACAACCCCAGCGGTTCATAGTGAACAGAGCCACCCCAAACCTCACTCTTCACCCTCTCAATCAATTCCACAACCCACTCCTGTCATCCCTATCACATCCACCAAACCACTTAGCCCTTCACTCTCTCGGGGAACCCACGATACGGAACTGGTATCGCCCTCTGCCTCGACCAATCCCTTCCACCTATCCCGCCTTGAGCTTGCCGATCTCCTGTTTCTTCGGTTGCTGGAGGTCGACACTTGCCACCTCTCACCCTTCGAGCACGACCTTCTCCAAGTTTTCTTCAAACACGACCGCCCTCAGTACGGCACTTGCCGTGACAGTCCTCGAGGTCTTAAACGTTCCCATGAGGATCCCGATGATTCGGAACCTCATGAAGGGGAGAACAAGAGGCCTCAGACACTTGAGCAAGCAGCCTCTACCAGCCATGAACCCCAGCCAAACACCTCATCAAACCAGCCCACCAACCAACCACCACCTTCCTCGAGCTAAAACCAAGCCCAACTCTCTAGCCTGGTCGAGCTAGACGAAACATCCCGAGGCTTATCTCCTAGAGATACTGTCCGAGGAGGGGATGGAAGTCCTGTAGTGGTTACCTCTGGTACATCACAAAGCTCATGTCATCGATCAGAACACAGTTCGAAATCGATGACAACATCCCGAGGCGTGTCTCCAAAGGATACCGTCCGAGGAGGGGATGGAAGTCCTGACGATGCTATCTCTGATTCATCTGTCAAGTCAGGCCATCAGCCAGAACTCAGTTCTAACCTGATGACAACGGGCAATCCTAGTGAACCCGGTTGTGACTCACGAGAAAAATCACCACAGCTGAGAGTCCCTTACATTCCCCAAGGCAAAGATATTCACGATGCACCCGAGGATGCTGTGGTACATGACGTTTGGCCGAGAAAGTGGACAGAGTGGGATGATCTTAGATGCGAAGCTGAGACAGAGGATATGCAGCGAAATTGGTGGCTGAGAGAGTTACTGGCCAAATGCGCAGAAGACATCATACGCCTTGATGAAGAGGAACTCAAAGAAGGGGAGGACTACAAAAAGATACCCAGGGAGCTAGAATCCGTCATCAGACAAACAGCAAGCAAGTTGCCCCCAAAAGAAAAGCTCTGGGAAAACATCAGAATAAATGCCCCCTTTCAAGAGGAAATCAGAAAGGGAATTTGGAGAATCGCAGACAAGCTCAAACAGCTAGATGAACTAAAGATCCGTGGTTTGACTCACCTCAAAGGAAAAATGGCTGGCGGGCATCTTCACATGCTGATGCACAGATCATCTGGAAAACAACGTCAAGTACTGGAAAGAGATATGAAGTCCAGCATCCATCCTATTGACGTTATCCTTGATATACACAGAGAAGATCATCACACCATCCCGTTCTACAGCTTCAAAGTTCGACGGACAGACTCCAGCATATTCATATGCCAGGAAAACGACTTTATAATGATGAAAATGGAGGATATCTACCAAATGTTCATGGTAAGTAGGTATCTCCCACTGAGTCGAAACAGGACACACGAAGAAGGCTATGAGGCGATCAAACGGTTTATACTGAGACAGATCAGATTCTCTGCTGCCCATGATCTACAGATGGCCCTGGAAAACAATGTCCGAAAAGCAAATCTGGTAAAGCCAACTCTGAATGGTCCAGAGCTCAAAAAGTACAGACCATATCACATTTTCAAGGACCCAGTCTCTATCATATATCTCAATCACGAGGAACAGAAAAGACTCATGTGGGTAGAAGACATTCACAAATACTGTGATGGGACTCTGAAGATCATTCAGACCAAGCTACAAGAGATCAAAGAAAATATAGATCCAAGACTCGCGGACGCCAGCGAGGAAGAGCTCCAAGTATACGAGAAGGTGTGGACCATCCTAAAGCCCATCAACGAGCAACTTGAAAAGAGAAGAATGCTGAGACAGTATGAGCATGCGCTAAATTTCAGAAAGCATTACTTCAGATCTCAAAAATAAATACAAGACGGCACTTGATCACAAAGGGGGAGATTGTTGAAGACTATTTTATTGTGAATCAAGTTTGTCTGTTTTGTCTGTAATAAGTTAGATGTTTACTATTTCTATTCCGTACTGATTAAATATATCTGTTGGAATAGTATACAATATGGGCCAAGTGTTAGGCCCATACTCAGGCAAGAAGCCTTTGTACGCATACCTGAGCCTCGCCTATAAAAGAGGGAGGAGGACTCAGGTTTGCGGTTAACTTTCGTATCTGCTCAAAATAGCCTTAGCGCTTATCATTCTTGTACGAAAGATTCACGGTATATCAGAGAAGGTTTACACTTGATCTTCATCTTTATTGTTAATCTTTCATCTGTATGCCATATTATACTGTTGTTATAGAAAACAGGGACTAACACAGTCCCTTTAATCAATTCATGACATCACGAGGTATGCTTCATCAGTCTTCTTGTGTTTATACACCTCAACAAAATGGGGTTGCTGAACGCAAGAATAGACATTTAATTGAAACTGCCCGTACTATGTTGTTACATTCACATTCACCACCACAGTATTGGGCAGATGTCGTTCTCACTGCATGCCACCTCATTAACAGAATGCCTTCATCGGTTATTGGTAATGTCATTCCCCATTCTATTTTGTTTCCTACTCAGGCACTGTTTCCATTACCACTTCATGTGTTTGGGTGTGTTTGCTTTGTCCATGATACCACACCAGGAATACCCAAAATGTCTGCTAGGTCAATCAAATGTATCTTTCTTGGATATTCCCGTCTTCAAAAGGGGTATCGTTGTTATTCCCCGGTACTTAGAAAACATTTTGTGTCCGCTGATGTCACTTTCCTTGAGTCCTCATTTTATTACCCATCTCCCCTCCATGATACCCCCTCATGTGTTGACTTTCTTCCATATCTCAGACCCATCTCCACCCCCCTTACCGATGCTCCTATCGACCCATCTCCACCACCAACCCGTCCTTTACAAGTGTATCAACGACGCCCTCGCCCTTCACCCAATGAGTCCTCTGAGGTCACGCCTGTTGATTCCCCTACTTTGGATCCCACACCAGCACAGTCAGCTACCCAAGTGCCAGAGAACAATCATGATGATTTGCCCATAGCCCTCCGCAAAGGTACACGCTCAACTTTGAATCCTCATCCCATTTATAACTTTTTAAGTTATCATCGCCTCTCCACCCCTTACTTTGCCTTCACTTCACAAGTTCACATTTATCTGGTGTCTGTAAATGGAGCTGAAATGGAGCTATGTTAGCTGAAATGGAGGCTTTACATTCTAGTGGGACATGGGACTTGGTTCCCCTTCCTATTGGGAAATCGGTTGTTGGGTGCCGTTGGATCTACACAATCAAAGTAGGACCAGATAGCAACATTGATCGTCTTAAAGCACGTCTGGTTGCAAAGGGGTATACACAAATCTATGGATTAGATTACACTGACACCTTTTCTCCTGTTGCAAAAATTGCATCTGTTCGTCTAATTTTATCCATGGCAGCAATGAGCCACTGGCCATTATTTCAATTGGATATTAAGAATGCATTTCTCCATGGTGATTTACATGAGGAGGTTTATATGGAGCAACCACCTGGTTTTGTTGCTCAGGGGGAGTCTGGTTTGGTTTGCAGATTACGTCGTTCTTTATATGGCCTGAAACAATCCCCGCGTGCATGGTTTGGGAGATTTAGTGTTGTTGTTCGTGGTTTTGGCATGACTCGGAGTGATGTAGATCATTCCATATTCTATAGACATTCTGCAGGCAATAAATGTATCTTTCTTGTTGTATATGTTGATGACATTGTCATTACAGGTAATGATGACCAAGGAATTGCCCAACTCAAGGAATATCTTTTTAGCAAATTTCAAACAAAAGACTTGAAAAAACTAAAGTACTTTCTTGGTATTGAGGTTGCCCAATCAAGAAATGGAATTGTGCTCTCACAGAGGAAATATGCATTGGATATTCTTGAGGAAGCAGGTATGTTGGATTGTAGGCCAGTGGATACACCAATGGATCCAAACGTCAAACTCGTGTCAGAACAAGGTGACCTCCTGCCCAATAAAGAGAGATATAGAAGGCTTATTGGGAAGTTGAACTATCTTACCATCACAAGACCAGATATTTCATTTGCTGTCAGTGTGCTTAGTCAATTTCTTGATAAGCCATGTGATGGACATTGGGACGCAGCTATCCGAGTCTTGAGATACATCAAGAAAACTCCAGGACAAGGATTACTCTTTGAAGATCGAGGGCACCGTGACATTGTTGGATATTGTGATGCAGATTGGGCTGGATGTCCAATGGATAGACGTTCAAGCTGCAATGCACATTGCTTCCAATCCAGTGTATCATGAGAGGACTAAACACATTGAAGTTGATTGTCACTTTATACGAGAAAAAATCACAAATGGACATATTACTACTCATTATGTCAAAACAACAGATCAACTTGCAGATATTTTAACCAAGTCTCTTAGAGGACCTAGAATGCAATATATTTGTAACAAACTTGGTGCATATAATTTATATGCTCCAGTTTGAGGGGGAGTGTTGAAACCCTAGTTGTATTGGGCTAAGCCCATCTTGTATAGTAACCCTAGTGCTCTAGTTTTTGCTATAAATATAGCTACTTGTATAGTTCTTCATATTAAGATTCATTATAATGAAATACATTTCATATAATTCACACCAAATAAGGAAGGGAGAAGAAGTGTGTAGTTTATTTTGGACCTACCCAAAATGGAAAGTGTGAAGTTTATTTAGGACAGGAGGGAGTAATAATTACCTGAGTACTCCTATTTTGACTTACCTCACATAATGGAGTTATCATGTCTTCTTGGGATTTGGCTGTCTTGTGTGTTATATATTTGATTAAGCATCTAAATTTGTTTTACAATTGGCAGCTTTGATATTCTACATGACTCTCTAGGGTTGGTGCGGACAGAGTTCCCGCATACTGTGTACTCTGTGGCAGGAACTCAGGTGAGTTAAAGTTCATTTTATTTTTTCTTCACACATCTTTACACAATTAAATAATGAAGAGACTTATACGCAGTTATATGATATATGATTTTCAATTCATATACTTTCTTGAATTTAAGTGCAAAGGTGATGCTTAAATGTGACTGTTTTTATTTAGGGTCTGATTAACCAAAAGTTGTTTGTGAAGTGACACTATTTTCTGCGGAATACTTTTCAGGCCGAGAAAAGCTCATGGAACTATATTGGAATATTCAAGACATCTAATATATCTGGAAAGAGGCGTGAGTTAGTACCCAAAATTAAATCTGAAGATAACATGGAAAGTGACAGCAGTGATAGTAGTGACAGTGAAGAAGAAGAAGACGAAGATGAATCTGCAAACCTTGTTTTTCAGGTTATTTCTTAACTTGTAGTTCGTACGATTTTAATTAATATAGATGTGTCTGCAGTTTCTAGTAACATTCACTTTTATTAATTCTACAGCTTCGTAAGGTGTCTCATGAAGGATGTGTTAATCGCATACGTGCCATGACACAGAACCCCCATATTTGTGCTTCATGGTCAGATAGCGGACATGTTCAGGTTAGAGTTACCATTTTATAGTTGTCCTGTGATGTGTTTAGACTCAGACCAGCCGTCTTTAGTTGCGTACTTGTCGTAAACAATAACAGATGTGTAACTAGAGCGTTATTACCTTATGCTTTCAATAGATTTGGGATTTTAGCTCTCATTTAAATGCAATGGCGGAATCACAAGGTGACATTAGCCATGGGGCCTCTGAAGTTTCTAGTCAATCACCTTTAGTTAAGTATAGAGGACATAAAGATGAAGGCTATGCTATTGACTGGAGTCCTCTTGATCCTGGAAGGCTCGTATCAGGCAGTGCACAACTTCATTTCCTTTTTCGGCACACCATTATGCCTTTTGATTGGCTGTACAAGAATATTGAGGTTTATTTGACTTCTAAATTTCTAATCTATTAAGGGGATTGCAAGAGTTCTATTCATCTATGGGAGCCATCTTCTGGAGCAACATGGAATATTGATCAAAATCCTTTTATTGGACATATTGCAAGTGTTGAAGACCTGCAGGTACCTCTCTCTTTATCAGGCCTGCAAGATTTTGTTTGACATTTATCTGTTCTGCATAATTATATGTAAATACTTTCACTTGTCCTTCCCGTACAGTGGAGCCCCACAGAACCTTCTGTATTTGCCTCTTGTTCTGTGGATAAAAATATTGCAATATGGGATATACGTGTCGGAAAATCTCCTGCAGCATCGATAAAGGCACACAATGCAGATGTTAATGTTATTTCTTGGAACAGGTTCGTAAAAGCTATTCTTTTCTACCATAGCATTTACAGCTTTATTTACACTTCTAGTCAATTTCTATTAGGTTGGCAAGCTGTATGCTGGCATCTGGAAGTGATGATGGGACATTTTCCATCCGAGATCTTAGATTGCTCAAGGTATGCCAAATTGGATCCTATTGACATTGGTAACCTTTCAAAAAAGGTTAGGGGTGGCTAGGAATCTATATGTCTACCACTCATTCAATCCATTCATATTTAAACCCATTTGTCTAGTTTAGTTAAAGAATGGCTAAAGATCCACTTTTCCCCCTAAGTCTCTTAGATACATACTTGGATAACACTCGCATGCATGCACATATATAAGTAAATAAGTAGATAACAGTTGGATTTACTGTAAATCTGACTTGCTTTGACAAGAGAATAATCAATTCTTACTCCAGTCCCCAAAATAAAAAACAAACTCAGTGCTCTTGGTTGCTCGGTGAAGTTATGAGTAGCTTTCTATTACAACGGTTTAGTTTTATGGTTGATTTTGTTTGTGGATTGGATTGGTATGTGTTTTTATAAACGCCTCATGGATAGATTGCAATTTTTTTGATAAAATGATACATCATAAACAGATAAATGGCTTATTATATTCAATTTATTTGGGACTTAATAAATGTTCTATCTATGCCATGTAAATTTTAGGTATTTGGGCTCGCACCCCTCCGACCATGTTCTATCTATGTGATAATAAATGCCAAGTGCACTAATTTGCTTTCTTTTATTTAGGAGTTGGCATCTATTTAATTAATAATTTTCACATCAAATGTTAACAAAAAAATGAATCAGTAAATGTTCATGGAGTGTGTGATCTTGGTGCGACTAGCATGTTACACTATGGCTCACCATAGTAACAATCAACCCTGGACCTTTTAACTGTGAAATATGTATTGTCCTTGATCTAATACTAGATACAAATGTTGTTTAATGCTGCACAGGAAGGAGATGCTGTAGTTGCCCACTTTGAGTATCATAAAAGCCCAATCACATCTATTGAATGGAGTCCACACGAAGCATCAACACTTGCAGTTACATCATCAGACAATCAATTGACGTATGACTCGCACACACTCACTTTTGTAACATCCGCCAGCAGATTTGTTTTCTGTAATTTCCCTAATCACGGAATCACCTAGAAGTTATTTAGGGGCTAGAGTTCACAAGTTAAGTTTCACTAAAACTATTTAAGTCAATTATGAGGTATGAATCACTTTGACTGTTTTCCTCGTAACTGCTAAGGAGAAAATGTGGCAGCGACTAGAATGAGTAGTGTGGTAGAAGTAAATGCAAGAAAATCAATTCATCCAATTTTGGTAAGCGTCATGAACAATTTCACTAAAAATTGTGGGTAAAACCAACCCACATCTTGATATTCTATATAAACCAACCCATATCTTTTTTTCAACCACGAATTTTGTAGTGGGATGAACCTTGGAGAATATCATTTCCACAAAAAGTGAATATTTGAATGGTTTAAACTTTAAAGCTAAGATATTGAAGTGAACTCTCATGTTGACCTATCCCATAATGCTTCTTTTTTATTTCAAAATTTCCTCCAGAATATGGGACCTTTCTTTGGAAAGAGATGAGGAAGAAGAAGCAGAGTTCAGAGCAAAAACCAAGGAGGAGGTGAATGCCCCTGCTGATTTGCCACCACAACTTCTCTTTGTCCATCAGGTTATGCTATACCTTTTCTCCCCTTGTGAATTATAATGACCGAAGAAGTGCATATAGTAGCTGCTCTTATGCTCACTACTGTGTCTATCTGTATTGTGTGTTTAACAGGGTCAGAATGATTTGAAGGAACTTCACTGGCATTCCCAAATTCCTGGAATGATCTTATCCACAGCTGCTGATGGTTTTAACATCTTAATGCCATCAAACATAGAAAACATGCTCCCTCCAGCCAAGGCCCAAGGATGCTTAAGTTAAAATTCATTTGTTTTCTAAAGCTCAATTCTTGCTTCTTTGGTAGTATTTATGTTTCCATGTCTAACAATTATCTTTGTTTTCAAATCTTTTGCATAAATGTATTCGCGGGCTGTCAATTTTGTCCATCAGGTAGCTTCTTGTCGGCATTTTGAAAGGAAAACAACTAGTTTCTTTAGAGAGAGAAATATCACTTTGTGATCAATGTCTGAACAATTTGATTTATTTGTCTAGATATAATTGCAATGTTTGGATCTAGAGAATCTCATGAATTGGTGTCCAACAATGTAATAATACAAAAGTATCCATGAGCATAGTTTATCGTTTGAAATAGTAAAGGAAGCACGAACCACGTCTTCATCTAGATTCTCTTCACCTGTGCAAAGGTGTAGATGACAAGTCTTAGCTTCAACCTGAAATGGTGGGGGCCCCCGAAGGGGTTAGTACAAGTACCATTTGGGACCGAGACCGCTCGTTTCTTGAATTGGGATCAAGATCGAGAAATATGATTCCGGTCCGACGCCTCCATTTTTTAGTCCGGGATCGGATCGATTCTGTCCTTTTGCTATGAAACAATTGGAAAGAATTTCGGAAGGGTTGAAAGTCCATTTAAAAACTTAAAAGAGGTGTAATGGGGTGGAGAAGGCCATAGAGGGCTCACTACTGTGTGGGACTGGCTTCTGAATCGGGGGTACTAGGGGCGGGCTTTGGGCTGCTGAAAAGGTGGTTCAGGCCTATTGTTTTTTTGTTCCATTTTAAGGGCTGCTAGACGGGTGGTTGGGGGTGGGGGGTAGCAATAAATATGAAAAAGATTAAAAAAAAACTTTGACTTGACTCGGGTTTGGCCTGGTCTTGATACAAACCTTGGCTTGTATTGGACCTGCAATCCTGAAATCTAGGCCTGCCCAATCCCGTCCTAGCTCAGGCACGGTCCAACCCTAAGACTGCTAAGAGAATTGAGATCAGATGGAGACCAGTTGTGTCTTGAAATAAAGGTCACAGTCTTCTGCCTCCATTTATTTTTCCAATGACTGGTCGGTCTGAGACTAGAATCGGACTAGTACTGGGTCCACACCTACCTTTGTCGCCCATTTTGTTTTTACATTTTAAATTACAACCAAAAAGGATGTTTTACAATTTTCTTTTATAAATCTATGGGGAGGGAATTATGCTACATTGGGCTTGGGTTCTAACATATTGAAGTTTATTTTCTTCCTTGACCTATCATTTTTTCTCCATCACGGTCCAAGGCTTAGAGCAAACACGACTGTTTTTCTCCTAAGCATTAATATTACAAAAGTGCTATGGGTATCCCATTTTTGTACTCCCTTTGCACCCCATATAAAACCCTCCCCATTTTTACAATCTTTTACCTCCTCCAAACATCTCTCATGCCACATCTAGGGATGGATTGGGACGGATCGGCCTGATCCGGGATTCTGCCCGGCCCGGCTCAGTACTGTGCAAACCCGACCTAGCCCGCCGGGCGATGCCGGGACTGAGGCCATAAACCAGGTGTAAAATGGATGGGCTGCAAGATGCTGAAATGTTAGTTCACACGGTGATGATTCAAAATTTAGAGTATAACTTGTGTTGTAGTGTTTATGTCCAAGAGACAATCACTTAGGGATGGATTCGGTTCGGGCCACCCGGCCCGTGACCCGGCCCGGCCCGGTACTGTGCGGGCCCGGGACCGGACCGGTCGGGCGGTCCGGGACCGGGTCTGGGCCCGAACCAGGGGGAAGGGGCGGGGCGGGCTCGGTTCAGCAATTTTGTGACCCGGCCCGGCCGGGTCGGGCCCGGGTCCGGTTCGATCAATTTTTTTTAAAAAAAGTTTTTTTGGGTTGGGCTCCTACTAGCCGTTGGGGTGGGGGTGGGGCTGGGGACAACCCAAACGGCTATATAGCCGTTGGGTGGGTTATAGGGGGGGTCCGGGGGGTGGGTGGTGGTGGGGGTGGTGGGGGGGGTGGGGGGTAAAAAACCTATAAATACTCCTAATCTTAAACATTTTTTCATATCTCTTCTCCAATTCTTTCTAAATCCTATTCTTTAACTCTCTACTCTCTAATTCTCTTATTCTCCATTCTCCAATATATTATATTTATTATTTATAGTTTATATTAATTATCTACTTATATAAACTATAAATAGATATAAATAGTATTATATTACTTATATTTGTTATCTAATTATATATTACTTATATATTTATTATATCTATTAATATAGTTGGAATTATATCTAATTAATTTGAAGTCATTCTATTACTCCCATCCGAAAGACCGAAAGTCCGAAAGAGGTACGAAATTATTCTATTATTTACACTTGTTTAATTACTAGTTAATTAGTATAGTTGGAATTACGATTTTTTATTAATATAGTTGGAATTACAATTTTTTATTAATTGCTACATTTGACTCTAGTTTATAAAATATGTTGTACACAAAACTAGTTAATTCACTACTTAATTTGCTATAACTCGAATTAATAGTTAGATAAATAGTTAATTAGTTTTTTACAATTTTTTATTAATTGCTACATTTGACTCTAGTTTAAAAAATATGTTGTACACAAAACTAGTTAATTCACTACTTAATTTGAATTAATGGCTAATAATTTTTCTAAGTGGAAGGACCCGAACACCGGGAATTGGACCGCAACTTGCAATTGGTGCAAGAAAAACTATAGCTTGGGGATTTCCGGCGGATACGGATCCGCCACAAGACACCTTAAGTCCAAACACCCGGTGGAGTATGCAAAATTAGGCGGCGGAACGGGGAAACAAACGCAAATATCGAGGTTTGCAAATAACCAACAAGCTTTTGGTAATTTCTCATACAATGATGCACAAAATTTGACAGGTATGGCTAACTTACTTGTTGAAGAAAATTTGCCTTATTTGTTTTCCGAAAGTCTTGCTTTTCGTGATTATGCACAAACTTGTTTAAATCCGCAATATAGAGGTTATAGTCGCAAAACGGTTAAGAAAGAAATTTCAAGGCTTTATGGTGCGGAAAAGGTAAGGTTACAAAATTATTTTGCAAACTTTGATGGACGTGTTACTGTATGTTCTGACATATGGGAGGATACTTATCATAATTTACATTATTTGGGTCTGACTGTACATTATATTGATAATGATTGGCATATGCATAAACGTGTTCTTGCTTTCTGTGAATTTAATGATCGTCACACCGCTGAACATATTTATATTTTGATTGAACGTATTTTAATTGAGTATAATTTAATTGATAAGGTGTTTGCTATTGGTTTTGATAATGCTACTAATAATACTGCTGTTATTCCTAGATTGCGTGAATTGTGTGGTTCTACTTCTTTGATGGGTAGATTTTTTCATCAACGATGTGCATGTCATGTTCTAAATTTATGTGTGCAAGATGGTCTAAAAGCGTTGGGAGCATCGTTGGAGGTAGTCAAGGGGGGGGATTAGACGTATTTGGGGTAATGGACACCTTAGGAAAAAATGGCATGATTATTTGATAGAAAGAGGTGAGAGATATGTGGCTTTTCCAAAAGATTTGTGTATTCGTTGGAATAGTACCTATAAGTTAATTGGAGTTCTTCTTAGATATAAACAACATTTTCCTGCTTTTATGAAACAATATGATAACTATATTATAAACTCGGCTGAGATCGACACCTGTGAAAAAAATTTGTAATGCTTTGATATATTTTAATAATGCAACTGAAACTTTTAGTCATGTTTATAAACCTACCTCAAACCAATTTATTCGTGAAGCTGTTAATCTCGCCGGTGCTTTTTCAAATTTTGAGAATGCTGATTATGTGAATTATTTTGCTGGTTTTATGAAGGAAAAGTTTTTAAAATATTATTCACATATTTCGCATATTTATGGTATTGCATTTGTTCTCGATCCTCGTTTTAGACTTGGTTCTTTAGAAGAATGTTTGAATTATTATTATGCTGCTTTTTTTGGTCCATTGCCAATGTATGAGGACAACCCAATTGATCCGAAAAAAGAATACAACGAGGTTAGTGATATATTTTATGCATTATTCGATGAGTTTCATGCACAATATGGCAATGCGCCCCCTCCCCCGACACAAACATCATCTAAAGGAAAATCAATTTTCAAATCTACGTTTGCCAATCTTATTAAAAAAACAAAATCAACTCCCGCTACACAACAAAGCACAATTAATGAGATTTCTTTGTATTTAACTTATGATGTTGATTTTGAAGAAGATGATGATTTTGACGTACTAAACTGGTGGAAGGGAAAAGAAAGAATGTTCCCGGTTTTAGCAAAGATGGCTAAGCAAGTGCTATCAATGCCGGTTTCAACGATTGCCGTGGAACAAGAATTTAGTTCGGCCGGCAATGTTCTAACACAAACCAGAACGAGGTTGAGTGCTGAATCTCTTGAGATGCTTATATGCTACCACGATTGGTTGAAAGCAGCACGTAGAGCTCAAGAAATTGACATCACTCCATCACAACACTTTATGGATGAATCTACAGAGGGTGGCTCTACTTATGCCGGAGATTCCGATTAAAAACAATTATAGTTCCTATTTAATTTTCAAATGTAGTTCCTATTTCATTTCAAATAAATGCATTTGAAGTTTGTTTTTTAATACTTGTATAAAACTATAAAGTATAAAATATAAATTTAAAAAAAAAAATTACCCGGCCCGACCCGGCCCGGCCCGGCCCGGCGGGTGGCCCGACCCGTGACCCGGGCGGGTGGCCCGGCCCGAACCGGACCCGTCCAACCCTCGGGCCGGTCCCGGTCCCACTATTCTAGAACCGGTGGCCCGACCGGGCCTAGGCCCGGCCCGGGCCTGACCCGGCCCGAATCCACCCCTACAATCACTAGAGATATATCTACTCGATAACATTTATTTTTATTTGAAATTTACGGTATTAATCATTGATGATTGATTGTTTCTATTGTGTTCTCTTGGACTTATATTATCACAAAATATGTTAGATGCTTAATTAAGCGACATAATATAAAGCTCTAAAATAGCCTCAATCAATAGTCATGGAGAATGAGATATCAATTATGTACGATAAAGTTAAGATATTTGGATTGCATCATATCTTTAAAAAGTGTAGTTGATGTCATAAATATGAATCCTAAAAATTCAGCCGTGTGCAAATTATATGTGATTTGCTTACCCACAATTTTCTGAAATTTTAAATTGGTTATGTTGATAACTATGTTTGTTAGGCTGCATTTAAATTGTGTGAGTTAGTTTACATAGTTACAGAGAAGTTAAAATAAAAAAGAATTTATTGGTTTTTGAAATCGTGCATTTAAATTGTGTGAGTTAGTTTATAGTAGTAATGGTGAACGGTGAAACTCACTTCT